ATTGCTGATGTATATATATATATATATATATATATATATATATATATATATATATATATATATATATATATATATATATATATATTATATTATATGTGGGTGTGTGTGTGTGTGTGTGTGTGTGTGTGTATGTGTACTATAGCCACTAATGCTCACTAGGCTAATTCTCCCAGAGTTTTACCATGAAAGAAAGTGCAGTCTCAACAATTCTCTCTGAATTTACCAAAGAAATGCGTGGCTTACCACTGAAAGACATTGAAGAGCATTTCCCAGCAAAGTCTTCACATCAGCGTGTGAGCTTCACATTTGCAAGGTAAAACTAGAATCAACATACTACGTTTCCTGAGTAGAATAAACATGGTGTATTTCCCCAGCACAGTACAGGGCTGGCTGGCTGGCTGGCTGGCTGGCTATCTGGCTGACTGGCTGGCTAGCTTGCTGACTGGCTGGGTGGCTGGCCTGCAGGCATACGCACTGTTCTCTCCACAATTAAACAAAGTCTTGTTATATTAAGTCGGTTTTATTCTCAATCCTTGGTAGGCTAAATTATTATTATTATTATGAGTTACATGTCTACCTGTCTTCATCCCAATATGTGTCACTCACGCCTCACTCTCCACATATATATACTGTCTTATTTAACCTCTGTATGTTAGAAGTGATCAAGGTCCCAGGATCGAAACATTTTCTAATGTCCTAGTGTTTGCTTACGTGTTTTTCTAAACCAATTTGTCGGCATCTATTACCAGGGTTTACACCGGTATGTATCGTACCACATAACCCCGGCGTCCTGCTCGCCAACTCATGCAAGGGGGCTATTAACTGTAACAACACCTCCAAACCCTCAGCAGGCACAGGAACTGCAGCTCAACTCTCTCTAGGCTTCCAGGAGCGGTAGATAAACAGCTTCAAAAGTTCTATAAGTTTTAAATGACAACACGCATGTAACGTAATTCTTGTATCTAAATATCTTCAGAAATCCCAAGCACCGTAGAACAGCACAATTATTAAAAATGACTTGACAAACTAGAAAGACACAATGTGGATGGCATGATCAATCGGCTGTTGATGCTAGCTGCACCAAGTCCAACATGAGCACTATACCTTATTAACCTGCTGTCTCTGAAGACAGCCAGGGGTCCTCTGGTGATCCTCTTTATGTAAGAAGGGAGGACGTCGAAAAGTCTTAGCCCCTTCGCGTTAGTGTACTCATGGTATCCTGCTCTTCACTGGAAGCATATTGAACCATCTGCCAAACATATTACTTCTGTAGGAAACCTTACCACGGACGGGGATAGAACCCGCGATCAGTCTCAAAACTCCAGACCGTCGCGTTAGCCACTGGACCAGCTAGCCACAATAAGATTCGTCCAACTAGGTATATTTCTGCACCAGAGGAAGGCTAGCATAGCATAGGCAATCGTGTCATTACGGTTTCGTGAGTCACTTATGTAGGCTTAAGGTCAGTCCTTTTAGAATCTCCTTGACGCTCCAGTGAGGACAGATGGAGGGACTTCCAACGTCGACTGAATCTACGAGGGCAGTGAAGATTTTTTGCACATTCTTCAGGCCTACAATTTCTCCTGGCATGAACGGAGGTGTTAGATTACTGTTGGAGGGTTCGTTGAAGAGTGTATGTAGGTAGCAAGGAATACCGGCGGATGGACTGTTATAGGGATGTATTGTAATGACAAGATGGAGCCCAGCGTACCATGTTTTCTAGCCTTCTAGGTCGGGAGGTTAACTGTTAACTGTGTTTGTTTATTATTATTATTATATACTTATCTAAAATTATGTTTAGTTGGAATTAGGCTAAATTTAATTGGACTTGTTATCAAAGTGTTATGGCAAGTTTTCTAAGTGCTTTGATACAAAATATATATTTTTTACATTAACCATAACTGAAAAAATATATCTTAAAGGGTATGAGAGAATGATTTAAATTACGGCATTTGCGCATATGCCGTATTCTATTTAGATTGGACTGACTACTGACTCAAGGTTTGAGTAATGATTACCTCATTCTCCTCTTGTTTTTCAAGATTCTCCTTTGTATGGACTGATGAAGCCACTGTGTGGCGAAACGTTTCCTCAATAAACATACCCAAGAGTTGCACAAGTGTCTAATTTATCATAATTTAGCATAAAACTCTGTTGCCCTTGCCAGCCTGGTTTCATCTTATAGGTAAAATTACTGTATATATTTTAACTGGGTTGATTTCCAATTCCTGAACCTCTTGCTGGCGTTGATCTCTAGCTCCTGGACTTCCTAAGGGGGTGAATTATAGCTGCAGATGTTCATAACGGTTGTAAGGACAAGCTAGCCTAGGGTTAGCTTAGAAAAGGTAAACTATGAAATAGTATGCTTGGAGTAAGCCAGGAGAGAAAGCTAGGAGAGAGTAAGCTAAGAGAGAGTAAGCTAGGAGAGGGTAAGCTAGGAGAGGGTAAGCTAGGAGAGGGTAAACTAGGAGAGGGTAAGCTGAGAGAGAAGCGTGCAGGTAGAAATCAATAGAAGTTGTTCGTTATTACATACTTGAAGGTCGCAAGGACTCCCTCACTAGGTAACCAATGTGTTATGTACATTATCATAATCAGGCAGCATTAAAGCCACAGAGGTCACACACGCTTCCTGGAAATGGGAGATAATCAGATTTGTACTAAGGCAAGGAAGGATTACTATAATTCCTATGATAAAGAGCCCTTCCCTGGAATCAGAGCAGCTCTCACCTCTCCCATCGATGGCAATATTTGGTACTGTATTATTATAGCATTCAAATTATAATAAAAAAGAAGCGAGTGAAAAAACGCTGCAGGTAGTGATGTGCAAGTGCAGTGGTTGGTGGAGGTGTGATGTGGCGCGAACCGAGTATGCTACATTTTATTCAACGGTCATCAAACACCTATTGGTATGCTCCCTCGACCAGTGAACTGGCAATTCAGAGTACAGCAGTTGTACAGTTGATCTGTACAGTTGAACTGTATAGTTGAACTGTACAGTTCAACTCGCCAATCAGGTTAGAGCTGGCTCGCCCAGCTGAGCTCACGTCACAACTGCCTGCCTGGCTGGAAGACAAGACACTTTCTTACTCTGGTCGAATCTACTCTTCTTGCTTTGAGTGGGTCTCTGCTCTGCCTTATCATTATGCTTCTAACTTAATAACTGTAAATATTGTATATACTGATTAAGGAATAAAATGGTAAGGAACTACCTCTTGTGTGTTTGCCTTGCCCAGTTGCTAACTTTGGGTACAGCTAGGCTCAACAGGTCGTGAATTGCTACCTGTGTGCATATGGAGGTTAACGTGGATGCAAGAGGTTAGTTTCTGTCAAAATGTCAGTTTGTGTTAGAGGTAGGACTTCTGGTAGAAGTCAGATTGAGTGAATGCCTCTAGGGGTTGTAGACGTCAAATGTGAATTCGGCATGACTCTCATAGACAGGACAATCTCAGACATGGCAAATCGATAATGCAGCCTGGTAGTTCTTGCAGAGAAGTGTCAGGGATACCACATGGTATCTATGTAGGAGCTGCATGTGTCTGACTTGTATGTGTGAGGGCAATTTCCCATACCCGACAGCAACAGAAAATTGGCCAAATCCAGTTGAGGTTAGAGAGAACAATATTTTGTCCACTAATGGGAACAAATGTTGTCAGCAGTTTCAAAGTTAACAAAGTAAAGGAAGATTGTTTGAGAATGGAACACTTTCTTTTCCCGAGGAAGATTAGTAGTTCGCAAAGCAGCTGATCATATGGGTGAATCTCCAAGTTATTATCCTCAACAACGAGTTGTCCAGAGACCAATCAAAAAATGACTTCTGCATGCTTGCTAGAAATGTGACACGTGTTTTATATAAAGTATGACCGGGATGTAGGAAGTCAAATTTATGGATAGCTTGTAATGCACCTTGGGTCGAAAAACATGAATGAGGCAGATTTGGTTGCAATGTGCATGACATGAAAGCAAAAGATTGGGCAGGCGATGCAACATACCCCCAGTGAAAAGTAGGGGCGTCACTGGTACACTAAAAGAAAACGCAATAAGTGTCCGGGGCCCAAGACTGTTCAACAGCCTCCCACCAACAATAAGGAGCATTACCAGTAGACCCTTGGTTGTCTTCAAGAGCGCGCTGGACAGATACCTAAAGGTGGTGCCGAATCAGCCAGGCTGTGGTTCGTATGTTGGATTGCATGCGGCCAGCAGTAACAGCCTCGTTGATCAGGCCCTGATCCACTGGGAGGCCTGGTCATGGACCTGGCCGCAGGGGCGTTGATCCCTAGAATACCCTCCAGGTAGACCTAAATAAATGGCCTTGGATTACGTGATTTGAAAAACAAGTCCATACCTTACCCTGTTAGGGTATTCAGAACTATTAATGTACATGGCAATGACACAAGAGTGATACTAAAAGCATTAAGTTCTTTGTAGTAGACATGTTAGTCTTTGGGCTATGGGAAGAGAAGCAAACTGGAACTGACAACCTCCAAATGAGGGAAAATCAAAATTAAGATATGGGGCGAACATGAATAGGGGCCTTGGCCAGGGAAAAAACTAGGGACGTTGACCCCTGAAAATTTTCTCCAGGTAATGGAAATAATAATGCCAACATTAATGTTAATATTAATATCAACATCGAACAAATTCAAACAATGTCCATCAATTACAACTGATTTTTACCAATGTCCAGAAGTTGCAGATGAGCAGTAAATGATTCGAACAAAGTGCACCAACACACACACACATGGGGCCAGGAGCTGTGAAAGAACCCTTGCAAACACCTATATCCAAGTACACACATACACGGGACCTGTGAGTCATGAATCATCCCTTACAACCCCACACACACACGTGGGACCAGGAGCAATGAATCAACCCTTGCAACCACACACACACACATGGGACCAGGAGCAATGAATCAACCCTTGCAACCACACACACACACTCTATGAAAAAGAAAACTTATACATTTCTTCAAGGTGGTTAAAGACACAAAAAGCCATACATGTACCTTCATATCACAGTTTATTATTCTATTACATTTGTTAGCATTTTATACAAAATTACTCTAATTTTTCATGGATACACCCAGTTGTAAGAGTCTACAACTTGCTCGTAAGGCAGTTCGAACATGGGTGGTTAATGTACAGTACTAGTGATCTATGGATAGCCCGTATTTTTCTAGGATATTGTGGAAAAGTTTCCACCTTGTGACATTTACCATCTCCCCACATTTAACATACAGTGGACCCTCACCTAACGATATTAATTGGTACCCGAGAACGATTATCGTTAGGTGAGTTTTTTAATGTTAGCCGAGGCAAAATGTTAGCATTAAAATGTATAGTACTAGTATACGGATTAAACAAATATAACCTGTAAAACCCAAAGGAATGTCTGTAAGAACATACTTAAAAGATCAATTTTGACTCATCCATAAATTAACATATGAAAATATTAAATTTATTACAAAGGAAAAAAAAATCAACATCATAGTATCTTACAAAGTTAAGAGCACTGGGTTACGAGGTACCGGTAAGTCACATGGGGATGGCAAGGAGAAATATATATGAAAATCATATATCGCATGAAAATAATGAAAAACTTTAGCAGAACTGGCGCAGACAATAAAAATTTATGAGAAAGACAAACTATATACGGACTGCATACCTTACAGGAGATGGAAAAACTGTCAGTGTTAAAAGAAATCTTTTAATTTAACACTGAGTGAAACTTTTGTGCTATGACTGGTTACTGGAGAGTATTTAAATAAATATAATTTATGAGCAGATCATAACTCTGGAAGAATGTGAGAAATGATCTTACAAAATAAATAAAAAGTATTAACAAAACATCTGCAAGACGGCACAAATGCGGACAGAGAATTTTTATAAAATGATAAAAACATAAATAATATTACCAACAAGACATTATTAACAGACTGAAGAATTCATTATATACATAAGAAATAATGGCTACCTATTAATCATGCCCCAAACAATGCCTCTCTCAACTTAAAATAAATGGTTAAAGAAAATAAATTATATATGGGGTTTAAAAAAGGTAGAATAAAGAAAAACTGAAACATTTGAGATAATTTAAAAAACTGACTGTTTTTAAGTTACATTATTAATAAAAAAAATGGTGAGGAACTGAATAGGCTGAAGATAACATAAAATAACAATGAGATAATTATGGTGACCTGTGTGGGTCATGCCACACAGTGGAGGGGTGCTGACATCAGAGAAAGAAGCATAAAGAGCAGGTTCCTCTGCTAACAAGGGTCAAAATTGGCACAATATATCAGGTTATAAATGCAGAGAAGTGAGGGAATATCAGGACTTTTATTAAATGTGAAAATGAGCATTAAACTTATACAGGTTGTACAATGCAATGCTGGAATGGATTGTAAGGGAAAGGGATGAGGTTAAGTGGGGTATGAGGGTGTAAAATGAACATAATGGATGGTGCAACAAGCTAGTTTCTGTAGAAAAGTCATAGACCTCAGTGTTAAATACATGTATCAAGTCTTGAGTAAGAAGTCAATAGTGGAACCTTTCTAAAACCAAGTTGCTGAAGGAAGACAGTTTTAGGTCTGTAAGTATGAAATGAGGCATATTTTAACCAAGCATTTTGTAATAATTTACAAATAGTGCTGGTAAGAAAATGTGCCTATTACTAGTTCTCTATCCTGACAAGACGTACAGTACCTGTGAAACAGGAAAACTGCAGTGTTCCATTCCAGAGGAAAAAATGCCTTCAAACCAAATCTGATTAAAAAGGTGTAAGAGGAGCAATTGTAAAGTAGGAGGCAAGTGTTAAAGTGTATGAACGTGTACTTTATATCAGGCTTGGCTGCTGTAGGTCAGTGTTGATATGCTTTTGCAATGTGAAGGGATAATTACAGTTCCTCATTTTGAGATGCTAAGTTCAATGGGATGGCCTCCCACCCAGTTGGTTTCGTAACTTCAGAAGGGCCTGATAGTTTTTTTTGAGTCATAATAAGGGCAGGAGCAGGGTTAGATGCATAATTTCCTTAACTTCGGTAATTACTTCCAGTGCATACACAGAGCTAGCGGTGGCCACACAAGCATGCCAACAAGTTAGGTTAGCCATCTGCACAATGCAACGAATACCAGCTCTTGCTTGTTGATAAGCTAGAAAATGGTCCTTGATGCAGTTGTAACCTAAGTGGTCCCACATAATTTGTTTCAAATTAACTGCCCTGAGTGTTTACCCAAGATCAAAAGCGATGGTAAGTGTGGAGACAGAGAATGGTGAAGGCAAAGAGCTCTCCCATATCATCTGTAAAAGAATTGAGAGGATCAGGAAAAGAGGTATGATTGAATAGAGGGCCAAATTTGCAATCAAAATGCCAAAAATTGGAAGAGACAGTGATGGCAAGAATGGAAATGGTAAGAGTAGGAAATGATCACTGCCATGAAGATAATTCAGTAGCTTAATCGAATTCAGGTGAAATGCTGTAGGAGCAGACAAGATCTATACACGAGAGGGTACAAGGGTACAGGTTAATGCATCTCAATGTGTAATGATAACTGTACTCAAGATATGGAGAGGTAGGGGGATGTGGAATTCTCGAGTCACACTGTGACCTTACCTAAAAGAAATGATGCACGTTAAAACTGCTAGTAAAAGGAGTGGCATAGGCACAGGCAAGGATGAATTAAAAAATGTATGTTAGTTACAGACAAGAGGAATAAAGGAGAAAGGTATAAAGAACAGAAAATTTACCACATACCCAAAAAGAAATGGGCTGTAGTATAATAAAGTGGTGAATGAAGGGGAATTTAGAAATGCAAAACATCAGTGCATGCAACAGGCACACTTTCATTGTATGATTAGTCAGGAAAGAGACATACAGCATTGCCTTAAAGAACACAACGACAGATAGGAGATCCGACTGCATTTCATAGTTTAGGTTCTGGTAGACAAACACATCAGTGGAAAACTAGGAAACTAACACTCAGAGCTTGCCCTGATTTCCTTAAATTCTCTGATATTCCATTGTAGAAGTGACATTACTTACTAGTAATAGAGCAGTAAGGATTAGGAAAGGGAAGGAGGATGGTTTTGGGATAGAGTGGATAGCAAAACCAGAGGCATGACATTTTTGTCATTTATGAGAAGGCAGACACAAGTTCTGACCCTAGCAATTGGGAAGCCTTGCAATTCTAATATTTTTTGTACATATCAAGCAGTCTGTAATACTGTTGTATGAGTGTGTGAGGGATGACAGCCATTCTGTAGTACAAAGGGAGGGTAGAGGGAAATGTACAGTTACCACAGTCCTGTCAATGGTGTACTGTGTTAGCTTATTGGCCTGGTCAGCATCATTAACACTGATGATGCACACCCCATCTTTTGGAGGGTTGAAATAGATGTCTTGGCAGATGTGTGTCAAGAGTTCTTGTGTCAGTATACAGTTGTTCAGGTATGCTTCGAAATTTGCTGCTTGCAGTGAAAACAAATCTTGTCCAGTGTCACGTTAGGAAGACTGCCGTCAGTGAAAGAGGTTCCTAAGTGGTGTGTTTCTTGGTGTGTGCCCAACAAAACTAGCTAAATATAAAAGATCAGCACACACATACAACATAAATGTTTATTTTAATCAAGGACAGGGATAAACCCATATAGTGTCTGGGAAATGGGAGGCAATTAGATTAGAGCCAAGGAAAGGAAGAATAAGTCCAGTTCCTTGGATCAAGAGCCCTTAACCAGTATCCAGGCATCTCCCTGTAGGTGACCAAATGAAATGACCGAGTGAAGAATCCTAAAATGAAATGGCCATATAAATATGTCATTTATAAATGGAAAATGTTTAGGGAAAAGTGTTTTTCATACAAAAAGTCATTTCCTCTTAAGTTTTTAAGAGTATGCATAGCAAAAAATGTCTGATATACACTTTCCTAGAAATATAATAAATTTCCAGGTGAATTTGAGAACAATTTTCCGAGCACAGTGTATGTGCCCATTTTTGGCACTTGAATCTGGTAATATAAAATGAAATACATACCAGCATGGCATATTATAACGTATACAATAAATTTACCTGGTAACGAGTAAGTTTTATAATTAATGTAATCTACACATGTCACTGAAGTCGTTCACTCTTCTTCCATGGCACCACTAAAAGTGAAAAATAATTAACCCGCCCTCACAACTTCAAACTATATTTACAGTGTATACATGAGCTTGCCATTTCTTTGCGAGAGGCAGCTACTGGCAACCGTTTGTAGAAATTAATGCCCACTGGGATTTAAGTTATTAATAAGTACCTATAAACTTCTCAAGTCCTTATCAAATCACAATGTCTTATATACCATAACTGGAAAGCTAAGGCCTATACAGTGGCTTGGAACTCCATGCATAACAATGCCTTTGTGGTATACAATACTGAGAAAATTCTCAGCAGTACTGCTGACAACAGAATCTTGGAATTCATACAAACTATGATATGATTATGAAGATGACAATGATAATGATCATGAAAAACATTATGAGAACATGAAATGGAACAGGCACAATCTTTAGTAATCCATACGTTTGCTTTGTTCTTTAGTTGCAATGTCAAAAAAAAAAAAAAAAACTTCAGTTACAGCACCAATTAAGGATCTGTTTTTTCATATATCTGGAAGAAATTCTGCAATGGAACATTACTAGAAATGCAGATTGTCACTCTGAATAAATTAACAAAGTGTTGAAAAATCTTCACTTGTAAGAAAAAAAAACTTCGAAGCCTGAACCAGCGACCTGCATCAACACGTGCAATGATGATCAACTGTCGGTGCAGTGTCTCGTACTATTCAATGAGAAGTATGTAAAATAGTTAGAAAGATAAGCTGCCAAATATACACATCAACCCGCATTGTCAGGTACTATTCATCTGACCTCTTCTAATTATAACAATTTCAGAGGACAGAGGAGCACTAGGCACTCCATTTGAATGATGTTGCGCCCAATGTTTCTGATAACCTGCATCGTACTTAAATTCTGGTTAAACCCCTGAATAATTTTTCAGGAAGCCTTAAGTAAAACCCAAATGGCCCAAACACGTTAGTGTGGAGAACATTTGTAGTAGAGGCACTCTGTGCTGGCTGTTACTAGCACCTACATATCAAGTCTAGCAGTACTAATACCCCCTAGGAAACAGGACTAAATTATACTTTGAGACTTTTATTTAACCCTTTAACTGTGTCTGACGTACTAGTATGCAGATGATATTGTGCCAGACGTACTAGTACACAGGTGCTGGTATTGTGTCCGATGTACAAGAACCAGGTGCTGGTATTGTGTCCGATGTACAAGAACCAGGTGCTGGTATTGTGTCCGACGTATTAGTCCACAGGTGTTGGTATTGTGTCCAGTGCACTAGTATGCACAATTTTTCACACCCACAAATCTGCCACCTGCCAATATTTTTGACCTCGGCACAATTCTTTGTGCCTTTTTACATCTATTCATACATTTGAAAAAAATCTAAGGCCAGCAGAGTTCACACAATGTATCATGGCTAACTATTCAGGTGATGAGTGTATGTCCAATGCACTAGTACACCTCACTCACAAAAGTAAACAAAGGAATCAGGAGCTGTATTTCTACCACCTGCTTCCCTACCATAAAACAGGGTGTGCAAGTGGCACTAAGATGACTTACTCCAAAATTTGTTACAATTTCATGATACTAACACTGGAATTCAATCACAAAGTACACTAAGTTTATTTAACCCAAGATAACCCAGTAAAGTCAAACAATGTGAATAATTTCCATGTTTTGAGGAGTATTACTCTCTGAAACAATTGCAATATTTTAAGTATTCCTTGTCAATAGCCTTAAAAGACCAAGACAGAAAAAAAAAAATACAGCCTCTCCTCACTTAATGACGGAGTTCCGTTCCTAAGACCATGTCAGTAAACGAATTCGTCGCTAAGTGAGGAGCATACTACAGTATAATGGTAGTGGGTTTGTGTCAACCATCTTTGATGTTGTTTTATTGTCACCTTTGCACCATTTATAACATTTCTGGTATATTTTTCAATGTTTATACAGAAGTGTACTGTATACTGTAACAAACAGAATAGAAGAAATCAGCTCTAATATACATTATTTAGGTATGCATACTGGGCAGAGAGCCCGTCCTAAGTCCGAGGCGTCGGTAAACGAGTATGTTGTTAAGCGAGGAGAGGCTGTAATAAAGTTGTACTGTATATATACCAATTACTGCAAGTGAAGCAATGTTGGGCTAACACAGTGTTAAACATTAAAAGCAATGAAAAACAGAAAAACAATCATATCTTGGCATCAATAACTATAAAATGTAAACATTGCTGGCACTTTTATGCCGCTGTTGCCATCGAGTGATCATGTTTCCACTATCTTCAACACACCATAAAATCCTAACTTTTTATCAGATTTCACATATTTTAGTCTTATTCAATTCAGAAAATTGAACTCTATCAAACTGTAAGAAAAATAATTTTTTTATTTTTCAAAATCTTCCCACAGATTTATTTTTTCAGGGTTTTGCACAGTTAAAGGGTTAAACTAATAGTCCTCCTGGTCCCATTTTGTTGTCAAAAATCTCAACAATACCATGAAACACCAAAACAGAAATTCACCAATACAACTCTCTATCCTGTGATTCTGTTATCTAAAGGCTAGTGTAGGGGAAACCTGCAGGTCGTACTTGAGTTGTGGCCTGTCCTGGTGCAAACATACCAGGTTGCATACATGCAGAATACAGAGGCTGCTGTGTCTGTAGATTGAGGGGCAGCTGGACGTGAGAATAGGCAGGGTAATTAGTACTGATGGGTGCATGTGACATGGAAACGGGTACCCCGGGATGGGTGTTCGGTGGTACCGTGGCGGTGGTCGCTGCCGTTACTGGTGGCGTGTTACGAGCGTCCTTAGGAGGCTCTTGTGGCGGCTGTGCTTGTTGCTGCTGCATCACCTGCTGGGCACCTGTTTCTACACGCTGCTGATCTTGTCTCTGGTTTTGTTGTTGTTGCTGTTGTTGCTGCTGTTGTTGTTGCTGTTGCTCCTGTGGCTGTGTTGGCGGATTCTGTGCACCGGTAGTATTGTCATTGTCATCGTCATCATCGTCACTCTGACCCATTGTACGCTCGGCTTTCTTATCCATTCGGAAAAATTTAACATTTGGAAACTGTTCTTTCATGAAATGTCTAAAAGAGGAATAACCCATCACCTTGACGTCTGGCTCAAAATGTTCACAATACTCCTTATAAGCATTATGGATCTTTTTGCGAGTGATGTCAGCTGGTAGGTAAACTGGAGGAGACTTGCCAGATTTGTTTGGTTTTTTAGGGGTGTTTGTGTTAGGGGAATATCTGGCAATATAGCTCTGCAGGAAAGCAGCAGCATGCTGGTAAGTGTCCAGGGGGAATGTGTTTGGTGGCTTCTTGCCATGGTTGCCATGCACTCTTGGAGTAACACCATTAACCATTACATGTTTTCTTATGGCTTTCAACTGATAATGAGTACAATTTTCCAAGTATAAGAAAGCATCTAGACAAACTTTCTTCCCTTGAAACACATACGACGCCCTGAGCCTCTTTCTCTCTTTGTGACGCGAAGTTTCTTCTGGGTTCGCCAGACACGCCATAGTCACTCCCATTAGGTACATGTCATGTTCATTTTTAGTTAGTTCGGCAATGTTTAATCGGTGTCTAAATACAAATTCTGGGTTCATGTTTTTGAAGCAATTATCTCCCTCACATTCACAACCTTTTCCAAAGCGTTCTCTCACTTGATCACTATTTTCCTCCAGTTTAGTAGGGTCGATACCCTCTGCTAGCAGGTCGGCCAATTTTCTCTTTTTCTTCACCTCCTTCTTGATTTTGGGTTTGGTTTCCTGTTCCTCTTCATTAATATCATTAGTGTTGAGAGTAGTGTCTCCTTCCTGGCTCTGCATATCACCCATGGGGTAGTTGGAATTCATGCCATTCTGTCCATCTATAATAAAATTAAATTTATTAATAAATATACTGGATACAAAAAATAGTATACATTATTTACTTTAATTTTCCTAATCTCAAAGAAATGTGAGATGTATATACCTGTCTGAATCCATTTTTATCATAAAAACTTTACAGTGAAGCTTAATCTATTTCAAAAAATTATTCTGCAACACAGATAAGTGAGAACAGCTGAGCAAAAAAATAAAATATTAAAAATTTATTAAAAAATGGCTTAAATAATTAACCTGTTATAAAAATTAACTTTTTTTTTTTTAACACATTTCCCCACTGAGGCAGGGTGACCCAAAGAGAAAGAAAAACTCAAAAAGGCAAAAAAAAAAAAAAAAAACTTCACACCATAACACATTCAACAACAACTCATACATAATCAACTAGTCTTCAGAAGCAACAAAATAGAGAAGCTTACTCACCATCAAATTTACCAATATCCACCTCCTTAAATAATCACATGTCTTATTCAAGGCTCAAATATGGACAGCTTCCTGAATCCCTCCAAAAATTACCACATCCAATAGCTCCTTAAAGAAAGCAATAATTTTCCCGGATGTCGTTGGAAAGTTTCCTGAACCCTATCAACACATTAACCATGCTCAAGCAATGCTGTATAAATATAAGCAAAAATTCAGTGATGGTTGAGGAAAGAGTGATGAAGATTAATAAACATTAAGTCAGAGGGCAAAGGTGTGGTGGTGGGATAAATATGCAAGAAATACGGAAAAATGAAATTAGGAAGAAAGGGTAGGAGTTATGAAAGGGTTAGTAAGAGGGCGAAGAGGGGTTTTGGAGGGGCTTGGCATTTCAGCAAGTGATGACTATAGATAGAGTGAATGGAAAGATATAAATCTATAGTGTGAGAGGAAAGAGGGTTAGGGCGGTATTCCAAATCGAATGAGTTGGAAAGGGGTAAAGCGAGTTTTGTAGGCGAGGGGTTGGACTTCGGCAGTTGAGCGGATGATGTTGTTATGATAGAGTGAATGGAACAATGATACTTGGACCTGAACGATCTGTTGAGGTGTGAGCAGGTAATTAGTGAAGGATTCAGGGGAAACCGGTTATTTTCATATAGTCGGACTTGAGTCCTGGAAATGGGAAGTATAATGCCTGCACTTTGAAGGAGGGGTTTGGGATATTGGCAGTTTGGAGGGATATGTTGTGTATCTTTATACGTATATGCTTCTAAACTGTTGTATTCTGAGCACCTCTGCAAAAGCAGTGATAATGTGTGAGTGTGGTGAAAGTGTTGAATGATGATGAAAGTATTTTCTTTTTGGGGATTTTCTTTCTTTTTTGGGTCACCCTGCCTCGGTGGGAGACGACCAACTTGTTGGAAAAAAAAAAAAAAAATTAACAAGTGGCCTCTAGCTACTTTCAGGTGACATATAAGATACTTAAATTAATGACAAACAAATTCTTAGCAAATCAATAGCTTTACAGTACTGTACAACTCTACAATTTAACTAAGAAAGTATGCAAAGTGATGTACTGAAAGATCCCACGTACTGATGTATTGTATCTTTTTGTTTTCCAGCACTTTCTCAACTACAGATTTTAATTTTTATAAAGCACCTATGTTCACACAGATCATAGGTTTAGTTTTCTCTCAAGGTTGTTATTAAACTGTAGATACCTAGTAGAAAGGGACTTTTGGGCTCTCACATGTTTTTATCTGTATTTCTTCTATTGTTCATTTTCTGATATCTTGAAAACACTTCTTTGCATTGGCTTGAAATTTACAGCCTTTGTGCACAGTCTGAAGTGAAAATGCTGCTGCAGAAACTGCTTTGATAGTTCACTGTCTGAAATACTAGGATTCTCTCACAATTTTTGGATGGTACTGCTATGAGGTGTAGGAAAATCACATGATGGTATGATGATAGCTTATGAACATTCTTGAGTCTTAGGTGCTCAAAATGCACTTACAGAGTGCTCTTTTTAACGAGACAGTGATGACAGAAAAATGGCTGGAAGCCCAATTGCAGTTTAATTAAAAGTAGCTCATTGCTCAACAATTGTGACTTATGGTGATGTCAGCGATCTTGCTTGTAGAAAGCAGACTGGAAAATAGTTGGAAATGGTCATAACTTAGCAGGGGGCCAGAAAGTAGCCTGAAACATACCTGTGAATAGTTTTGAGGGCTCTTATACCCTACAGCCCAGACTAGGGCCAAGCTTCTCTGTTGACCACCTGGTCAACCACGCTGTTTGTGACAGTGGCCTACAAGCCCATATAGCCATCATGACCTGACTGTTCCAGCACTTACAGCAGAAAGTTGACCAGCTTCTTGAAAAATTCTATCTTTGTTCTGACAGTAATTCTGATATCTACTGGTAGTAGGTTAGTCTTGGAGCACTGAGGTATACCATGGCCTCCCATCCTCTGCTCACTTCACAGGGCTTATTTCCCACTTAATCCTGTATATTTCATTATAGAAGGCTACAACAGTAGCATGCAAGGTAGGGACCAGGCTCCAAAGCATCTCTTTCATGTATACCAGGCATCCCATCCTTCTTTTTTCCAGAAAAAACAAACCAAGTGCTTTGAGGCATTCCCAATAATTTAGATGTTTATTGATTCTATCTTATATTACAGAACATGCAGAAGACACTGAAGGTTCACTGGCCCTGAGGACTAGAAGAGACCCAGGACATGCAGTTTTGTGTGTCTGCTGAAGATGTGGCATAGCTAGCATTAAATCCAAAGGATGTCAGAGATCTGGATAAGATCACTTGCCTCACACACCAAGTGTCTGTGGTTCAGTCCCTGACACGGGTGGAAATGTTGGGCATGCTTCCTTACACCTGTAGGTATCCGAGTGTTAGTCAACTGGTGTGAGTTGCATCCTGGGGGACAAGACTGAAGGACCACAATAGAAATAAGACAGACAGTCCTCAATGATGCACTGACTTTCTTGAATTATCCTGGGTGGCTAACCCTCCCTGAGTTAAAAATCTGAACAAATCTCATCTTATTGCATATTTCTTACAAGGAAAAGCCCATTTATGCACAGCATTTCACAAGTATGATAAAACAACATATGAGGTGGTGGACATTGTAGAAGATAGCTAACATAAGAGAAAAGTTTACAAATTTCTGTGAAAATGCTTAACTATGGCTACTGGCTCTAGTAGTTGTGTGTGACTTGCACATTCACTCTATCATAAGATTTGGAGCCCTTAACCACTTACCACACTAAATCCCTGTTATACCACTTCATGCCTAATTTCCTGACTGGTCGACTGTCTTGGTACACACTGAATCCCTACATCCCATTTATCTTTAAATGTTTTTACTACTTCACAGCCTGTCTCTCTAAAATATCAGTGCCCCTCTGGCAAGACAGTAACAGAATGAGTGATGGTGAAAGTGTTGTTTCTTTTTTGGGTCACCCTGCCTCATTCTAAAGCTCAAATTAAACAGTGAAAAAAGAAAAAATTGCAAATAAGATGAACAGATGTATACAGATTAAGCAGAATGTAATGGATGGTAAAATGAAAAATGAAAAAAAAATTAAGAATAAAAGTTGCAAAAAAGTTGTTTACTGATTGGGCAAGATCTAGAAAAAATAAAAATAACTTGTAGCTCACCCATCTCAGTCGTAGACCATATGGAATGCTCTAGGGGTTGAGGTTGAAGTTGAGACAGCTGATCGGCAGTCATGTGAGTTAGCTGTGGAGGGCCTTGCTGTGGCTGCTGCTGCTGCTGCTGTGGTTGCTGCTGTTGTGGTTGCTGCTGTCCACTGGGTGGTTGTTGGTTGCTGGTGTTGTCACTCTGAGATGTCGGTGGATTTCCTTGGGGCTACAAAGAAAAGAAGTACAGTCGCGCACCTGTGAACCGTAAACCAAAACTCCGTAAATTGTCTTTTTCTACTTGTGATTATTGGGGTCTTAATTTCTCTGAAATGCAGCATATAGGAGTTCACTGTATTACTCAGTTGAAATAACATTCTCGGAGGGATAGGCTGTGCAAACAGTTCCATCCAGCAGCCCAACAGTGAACCACCAGCAGTGATGACATCACAGTACCATCAGCTAAACATCATAATTTAAATATAACTATAAAATTTTAACTCCTTCTGTATAAATTACTAAACTGAAAAAGGAAAAACTTTTGTTTTTTCTTTTTAGGTCACCCCTGTCTCGGTGAGAGATGGCCAGCATGTTGAATAGAAAGAAACTATAAATTTTATATTCTATAAAATTTAACCTCGTAAACTCAAACATAAAAGGAAAACGTTTAATCTCCTTTGTAAGGTACGTCTCTGAAATGGCACATTATACAATATTTTATTTCTTATCACCACAATTTGATAATCGTAACGGTCCACTGTATATACGTTTTTTCAACATTTGAAAGTATGTAAAAAAAGTAGATCTTCTTTTTGTTTTTCTACATTTGAAAATGTGTAAAAAACTTTGATCTACTTTTTTTTGTTATATTTGAAAATATGTAAAAAAAAACTTAGATCTACTTTTGTAGCACTACACATGTGAACGTAGATCTGCTTGGACCGTTTACGGGTTAAAAGCTTAAGGACACCCCAAATGCACTTTAAAATTTTTTAATAAACTAAAACTACAACACTGGGCAGTTTCCTAACACCTACTGCCCCTGTTAATTAGCAGTAAATAGATATCCAGAGTAAGGAAACAGTTATGGGTTGCATCCTGGGGAAAATCTTAAATGGACCCCACTGGAAATAAGTTACACTGACTAATTTTAATGGGTTAATTAAATGCATTATCAAACAATGTTTAGAGTTTCATGGACCACCACCTCCCTGGTCTAGTTTCAGATCAAGCCTCTAAAATTTGAAAAAAAAAAAAAATTACTGTACATGAATACCAACTACAGGTTTCCCCACTTCATGCAGATGTGCTTTGTAAGAATTCGCTTTTTTTTTTTTTTTTTTACTTCATCAGCCATTTCCCACCGAGACCAATACTACAGTATCGGCATGATTTTATTTCAATTGGAAATTTTGTGCATGCAATGTACATTCACCATACGCTACCTGTGCAGTTCACAAATGTACTGAAGACTTTACATGCAAAACTGGGTGTTGATATACTGAGTAAGCTTAATAAAGCTGCCAAGAGCCAGAAACACCTACTGTATACTGTTCACAGAATGGGTGGGGTTCAAACCCATGGCAAGCAAATCCTAAAAACTCCCAGGCCAGTGTTATTTATAATGGATACTATATTACCATATACTGAATAAAGTGAGGGACATCAGTTTTAGGAAATGAATGGGAACAAGCAGGAGCATCCTGGAAGAGGGGAGTGGACAATAATAAAACATCTCATACGAAGTAAGAGGTATACCTGGGGTATACCTGGAGAGGGTTTCAGGGGTCAGCACCCCCACAGGAGGTACAGAGCAGGAGAGAATAGCGTGTTCAGATTGGATGATTAGGAATCCTAAAAGATTTCTGTTACTGTCAAGCTTCAAACTCAACATCTTTTTAAATAAGAGCCTCTATGCAGAGCCGAATATTCCATCTTTGTCCGATCGCTGTGATACTCATTGCCTTCGCTATTATGTTCGCTCTCATGACCTTCGCAATCCTTCCATACATATACGTATATGTATAGGATAGTCACTGATATTAGTAGACCTTCTTTATTTGTTCGTCGCTCCTGTTTACTCCATCCCTTTTCTCTTTGCCTACATTCGCTCATATCTTCTCTTTAGTGACCACCTTTCTATGTTCATGTAGCATCTCACTTTTCCCTACCCCTTTGGGAAATTCCGACGGTTCGTGTCTGTTCTTTCCCACTGCCATGTGTGAAAGCCTAACTGCCTATGGTGGCTTCTTGCTCTCTTTTTCTTGACCATTTCAATCTCATTCTCATGCCATCGCAGTGTACACTGATAGCTCCAAGTCTTCTGATGGCATTGGATTCGCAGCAGTGTTTCTGGACAGCATCATGCGAGGGCATTGATTATCCCCGGCTAGCATTTTTACGGCTGAATTGTATGCCATTCTCATAGCACTTATCCATATTGCATCTATGCCTGTGTCACTATTTGTGGTCGTTTCAGACTCCCTTAAGTGCTTTACAGGCTATACAAAAATTTGATACACCTCATCCCCTGGTTCTTCATATCCAACTTTGGTTACACCGTATCTCTAGCAAGCACAAAGATATTGTTTTTTGTTGGGTCTCCAGTCATGTTGACATACAGGGCAATGAATTAGCAGACACTGCTGTGTGGTTAGCAGTACATGACCTCCCAGTTTCATATAGAGGTGTTTCATTCACAGACTATTTTGCTGTAATTGCTACCCACCTTTGCACCCGCTGGCAACAACGTTGATCTGATCGGCTCTATAATAAACTACATTCTGTTAAATTGAGCATAGTTTTCTGGCCGTCTTCATCATTGGCCACACTCGCCTTACTCATGGAGAGGCTCCCTGTTCCACTCTGTGAGAATTGTCAGGTTCCAGTTTCTGTTAACCACATTCTGTTAGACTGCCCACTCTATCAACGAGCATGCAGAATTTACCTCCAATGTCGTCACTGCTCTTCTGCCCTTACTTTACCTTCCCTTCTTGCTGATGGACCTTCCTTTAACTCGAGACTCTCTCACTGACTTTATGACAGCAACTGATTTACTGCACAAACTCTGATGATAATGCCTCTAGTACTCCTCACAGCCCTTTCTACTTCAATCTCTTGCTATCCTCTACCCCTGCACTATCCACTGCCCCGTTGCACTCCATGACCTAATAATCATCCCTGTCCCTCTTGCTACCCAATACCCTTGCATCCTTCCCTGCCCGGCAGTGCTGTATGACCCTTGTAGGTTTAGCGCTTCTTTTTGATTATAATAATAATAATAATAATATTTTAATAAGAAAATATTCAAAGCAGAAGAAAAAATATATTAAGACATTTATTATATCCAACACGCAGCCTCTCCTCACTTAGCGATGTACTCATTTACTGATGATTCAGACTTATGACGGGCTCTCTGATCAGTATGCAGACCTAAATAATGTATATTAGAGCTGATTTTCTCTATTCTGTTTATTACATATACAGTACACTACAGTAAAAACATTTAAAAATGTACTAAAAATGCTATAAATGGTGCAAAGGTGACATTAATTAAAACAATATTGAAGATGGTTGACTCAAACCCACTACCATTATGGTATGCTCCTTGCTTAGCAACGAATTTGTTTATTGACGTGGTCTTAGGTCGTTAAGTGGGGAGAGGCTGTATCCATATTTGCTGTTTAGAGGGACATCTAAACTGTCACATCTGCGCGCCTCTGGCAAAACAGTGATAGCGTGAATGATAATGAAAAGTGTTTCTTTTTTGGGTCACCCTGCCTCGGTGGGAGACGTCCATATAAAAATATATCGACATTTCCAAAACAGAGTTGTTTCTCTTGTCATCTTTTATTCCATTTGAGGAGGAAAAGGATGAGGCAGAAAAAATGGTAGCAAGAAAGAGGATGAGACAGAAGGGCAGTGGGAAATATGAAGAGGTAGCAAAAGAATCAGAGACAGCAGCACTAAGTTGGTCAAGAAGCCAAGGTGGATGACCCATGAAATCATAATGACACAACTGCAAACAAACCATACCACGGGCGGGATAGAGCCCACGGTTCTATCCCCACCCATGGTATGGTTTTTTTTTTTCAAGGTGGATGAGGTGGTAGAGAAACAGTTAGTGAGGAACAGGATGAAGCAATGCCAGGTATGAGGAGGTGGCAACACAGGAGGCAGAAGAGAAGGCAAAGAGAAGAGGAAGCAACAGAGGAAGAAGAGCAGGTGCAAAATAAATGAACAAAACACAGAAATTTTGAACAATTCTTTACCTGATAAGTCATTATGTGAACAGGCTGTGGATGGAGGTGCCATTGTGGCGGATGTGGAGGCACCATTACCATTGGCTGTGAGGTACCAGTACTTGTAGAAAGATTTTGTGGTTCATTCTGAAATTACAAATCTTGATAGAACATTACATAAAAAAGAATTTTTATCGTAACAAACTACACCTACCATCCGACTTACGACCGAGTTTGGTTCCGAGAAACCGGTCGTAAGTCGAAATGGACATAAGTCGAACTTTACTACTGAATATCAACATCACATTTTTGTAATGACTTTATTTTATTGTTTTATTTTGGTATTTCATGTTTTACTTTACTTTTTATGCTGTTAGTACTGTATTTTATACTGTAAGGTTTAGGATAAACACTGTGTACAACACAAATAGTTGTTTATTTCCCAGAAATTTGGCGAGAAAAACACAGTCGTAAGTCGAGTGGTCGTAAGTTGAGCAGGTCGTAAGTCGGATGGTAGGTGTACCAGTTTCCTACTGACAAGTTGATGATTAAGACACATGTGCAACAGTTGAACATGTGTCTTAATCATCTACTAAGATAGGATAACCCACTCCAAAAAAAATTACTATCATTAATGTAACCACTGCCTCAGCAAATAAAGGAAAATTGTAAAACTACCACACGTGAAATACACGCTGCCTATGCTCTGTCACTGTTGTAATTCGACAACATAATCACGATCAAATAAAAGCAGGACATACTGTTGTTCCCCTCCCTCGGTCTTTTGAGCATCACTGTACTTTACACTGCATAAACAAGGATTATGTGGTTCTCAAACAATCATCCAAATAGTAGCAGTCAGATTCTAACAAATGGATTTGTCAGTTAAAAATAGGAGAGGAGAGTTATTAAATGGAGAGTTAGAGGTATTGGGAAGATGGAGGGAATATTTTGAGGAATTGTTAAATGTTGATGAAGATAGGGAAGCTGTGATTTCGTGTATAGGGCAAGGAGGAATAACATCTTGTAGGAGTGAGGAAGAGCCAGTTGTGAGTGTGGGGGAAGTTCGTGAGGCAGTAGGTAAAATGAAAGGGGGTAAGGCAGCCGGGATTGATGGGATAAAGATAGAAATGTTAAAAGCAGGTGGGGATATAGTTTTGGAGTGGTTGGTGCAATTATTTAATAAATGTGTGGAAGAGGGTACGGTACCTAGGATTGGCAGAGAGCATGCATAGTTCCTTTGTATAAAGGCAAAGGGGATAAAAGAGAGTGCAAAAATTATAGGGGAATAAGTCTGTTGAGTATACCTGGTAAAGTGTATGGTAGGGTTATAATTGAAAGAATTAAGAGTAAGACGGAGAATAGGATAGCAGATGAACAAGGAGGCTTTAGGAAAGGTAGGGGGTGTGTGGACCAGGTGTTTACAGTGAAACATATAAGTGAACAGTATTTAGATAAGGCTAAAGAGATCTTTGTGGTATTTATGGATTTGGAAAAGGGTGGATAGGGGGGCAATGTGGCAGATGTTGCAAGTGTATGGTGTAGGAGGTAGGTTACTGAAAGCAGTGAAGAGTTTTTACGAGGATAGTGAGGCTCAAGTTAGAGTATGTAGGAAAGAGGGAATTTTTTTCCCAGTAAAAGTAGGCCTTAAACAAGGATGTGTGATGTCACCGTGGTTGTTTAATATATTATAGATGGGGTTGTAAGAGAAGTAAATGCGAGGTCTTGGCAAGAGGCTGGAGTTAAAAGATAAAGAATCACACACCAAAGTGGGAGTTGTCACAGCTGCTCTTTGCTGATGACACTGTGCTCTTGGGAGATTCTGAAGAGAAGTTGCAGAGATTGGTGGATGAATTTGGTAGGGTGTGCAAAAGAAGAAAATTAAAGGTGAATACAGGAAAGAGTAAGGTTATGAGGATAACAAAAAGATTAGTGATGAAAGATTGGATATCAGATTGGAGGAGAGAGTATGGAGGAGGTGAACGTATTCAGATATTTGGGAGTGGACGTGTCAGCGGATGGGTCTATGAAAGATGAGGTGAATCATAGAATTGATGAGGAAAAAGAGTGAGTGTGCACTTAGGAGTCTGTGGAGACAAGAACTTTGTCCTTGGAGGCAAAGAGGGGAATGTATGAGAGTATAGTTTTACCAACGCTCTTATATGGGTGTGAAGCGTGGGTGATGAATGTTGCAGCGAGGAGAAGCTGGAGGCAGTGGAGATGTCATGTCTGAGGCAATGTGGGTGTGAATATAATGCAGAGAATTCGTAGTTTGGAAGTTAGGAGGAGGTGCGGGATTACAAAACTGTTGTCCAGAGGGCTGAGGAAGGGTTGTTGAGGTGGTTCGGACATGTAGAGAGAATGGAGCGAAACAGAATGACTTCAAGAGTGTATCAGTCCTGTAGTGGAAGGAAGGCGGGGTAGGGGTCGGCCTAGGAAAGGTTGGAGGGAGGGGGTAAAGGAGGTTTTGTGTGCGAGGGGCTTGGACTTCCAGCAGGCATGCATGAGCGTGTTTGATAGGAGTGAATGGAGACAAATGGTTTTTAATACTTGACGTGCTGTTGGAGTGTGAGCAAAGTAACATTTATGAAGGGATTCAGGGAAACCGGCAGGCCGGACTTGAGTCCTGGAGATGGGAAGTTACAGTGCCTGCACTCTGAAGGAGGGGTGTTAATGTTGCAGTTTAAAAACTGTAGTGTAAAGCACCCTTCTGGCAAGACAGTGATGGAGTGAATGATGGTGAAAGTTTTTCTTTTTCGGGCCACCCTGCCTTGGTGGGAATCGGCCAGTGTGATAATAAAAAAAAATAAAACAGATTCTAATTTGCTTGACAGTAGGTTATTGTACTGAAATTAATAAGAAATGACTGCCTGTAGAATTGTCAAGATAAAATTTAGTAATAATTCCTTTATAATTAACGTTTGCAACACATAAGCATGTGAATACAACCATAACAAAATAATGCACTTCCAGAATTAAAAAAAAAACATACAATATATCTAAGTGCCACTATTTCTCATTTCAAGGAGAAAGTAATGACTGACCATCAGTCGCTTGAAGAATAATACACCTATCATCCGACTTACGACCTGCTCGACTTACAACCACTCGACTTACGACCGTGTTTTTTCTGCCAAATTTCTGGGAAATAAACAACTATTTGTGTTGTACACAGTGTTTATCCGAGGCAGCTACGGTGAAAAGCTCTGTTCCACAAGGCACAGTACTAGCTCCCATCTTGTTCCTCATCCTCATATCCGACATAGACAAGGATGTCAGCCACAGCACCGTGTCTTCCTTTGCAGATGACACCCGAATCTGCATGACAGTGTCTTCCATTGCAGACACTGCAAGGCTCCAGGCGGACATCAACCAAATCTTTCAGTGGGCTGCAGAAAACAATATGAAGTTCAACGATGAGAAATTTCAATTACTCAGATATGGTAAACATGAGGAAATTAAATCTTCATCAGAGTACAAAACAAATTCTGGTCACAAAATAGAGCGAACACCAACGTCAAGACCTGGGAGTGATTATGTCGGAGGATCTCACCTTCAAGGACCATAAACATTGTATCAATCGCATCTGCTAGAAAAATGACAGGATGGATAATGAGAACCTTCAAAACTAGGAGGCCAAGCCCATGATGACACTCTTCAGTCACTTGTTCTATCTAGCTGGAATATTGCTGCACTCTAACAGCACCTTTCAAGCAGGTGAAATTGCCGACCTAGAAATGTACAGAGAACTTTCACGGCGCGCATAACGGAGATAAAACACCTCAATTACTGGAGCGCTTGAAGTTTTCTAAACCTGTATTCCCTGGAACGCAGGAGGGAGAGATACATGATTATATACACCTGGAAAATCCTAGAGGGACTAGTACCGAACTTGCACACGAAAATCACTCACTACGAAAGCAAAAGACTTGGCAGACGATGCAACCATCCCCCCAATGAAAAGCAGGGTGTCACTAGCACATTAAGAGACCATACAATAAGTGTCAGGGGCCCGAGACTGTTCAACTGCCTCCCAGCACACATAAGGGGGATTACCAACAGACCCCTGGCAGTCTTCAAGCTGGCACTGGACAAGCACCTAAAGTCAGTTCCTGATCAGCCGGGCTGTGGCTCGTACGTTGGTTTGCGTGCAGCCAGCAGCAACAGCCTGGTTGATCAGGCGCTGATCCACCAGGAGGCCTGGTCACAGACCGGGCCGCGGGGGCGTTGACCCCCGAAACTCTCTCCAGGTAAACTCCAGGTAAACCTTACAGTATAAAATACAGTATTAACAGCATGAAAAGTAAAGTAAAACATGAAATACCAAATAAAACAATAAAGTCATTACAAAAATGTGATGTTGATATTCAGTAGTAAAGTTCGACTTACGTCCATTTCGACTTATGACCGGTTTCTCGGAACCGAACTCGGTCGTAAGTCAGATGGTAGGTGTATTAACCTGACATTAAAATGGGAACTCTCTACATAATAATTAAAGGGTCTTTCTGTTATAATAATGGTTAAGGAAAGGTGTGGCCCATGTTACATAAAACCAACCTTGCTGTACAGGCAGACACAACAAAGAATTAAACCTCATAGTAGACAATTCTCACTACTGCTACCATGAGTAATGGTGACAAATAACCCTTCTCCATGGGATGCTTTGTTGTCATACTCTGCTCACTGAGTAATCAGTTGTGGGCACCATACATCAGCTTATTTTTTTCCACTCTTTGGATTTCTATGGTTGTGGAGGGAAAGTGGTCACTAACTCTGGTGGAGTGTGGGTGTTTGGCTTTGTCTGGCTTTAGTGGGGGTCCACCTGACCTAATTAGGAGTGCTTGTTCGCGTTTATTTTTCCAGAGAGAACCCTTGCTCTCTTCCCAAAACATTTTAGCAATATTCCTTTATATGCTGGGAAGCAGGGTTCAATACAGTGTATGCTATGGTTGCCCATTAAATTTCTGAGAAGTAAATGACAGTAATTACCCAGACACAAGCAAATATTTTTCCATTTGCTAAATTATAATGGGTATTATTTTTTGATAAAAAAAGTTATATACAAAGTGTTAATACATGAATGATTAGGAAAGCACAACATTACTGTGCAGAACTTACTTGTGTAGACCGGGGGGCCCCAAGGATGTTAAATGAACGAAGCACCTCGCTTGCCTCCTTCTCAGCTTGGCCATGTCCATCCATGCTTTACTGTAAATTGTTCGTCCAGATAACAGTGGAAAATGTTTCAGCAAACATTAGTTCCAGGTTGCAGCGGGTGGAGGGAAGCATCCGAACACTATCTATTGCTTCCACATGAGAAACAGGTTCAAGGTTTCCTAAGAAAGACAAGTACAGTACACGTTTATGTTAATTTTTGTATTTCCTATTTCTGCTTTGACTTTGCCAATTTCTAAATGATAGGTATGAATATGAATATACAGCAGACCCTCGATATAACAGACCTTTATAAGGCGAGCTTTAGAAATAAGAAAAAATCCAATGGGTCAGTCGCTTTGGAAACAAGGGACTAAGCACACACACTGGTTACAGAATTGCCCCTTATTGTTGCTATCACAGGTTCATTGCAAAACAACCTCTTCTCTATCCACCACTACTGCCGTTACCATCCACTCAATTTCCCCTGTAAACCAATTACATAAAGAGTTTACTGTCCTCAAATGAAAAAGAGGTGAATTTAAATGCCACATATTTTGCTTACACTTAAATAATTTGTACTGGTTGTCTAACACATGATTAATTATAGGCACTGCTTTATTTACCAACCTAAAGTGAAAGTTTCATAAACATTCTCTGGGAGATTATAGTTCAAACTGTTAGATATACTGTATATTTTCAAGGAATCCAAAACTAGCAGTTATCACAAAAACTAAGCAGCTAAATAACATTTTGCTCTGTAACAGTTTAAACATATTCTATGGCAAAATTTAACCCAGTGAAAATCATCATATAGCACATTAATCTTAATAACACTATAAATGCTGTAATGAATCTTTATCATACCAGTGATCCTTACAATAATCACACATTCCACACACAAAACAGTTACAGTAAATACCATATAAATATTGTTCAAGTGCCTGAGAAAGTTTTAAATGTCGGTATTTTTTTATCTGGGATTTTATTCTATAGGTTACAAAGAAGCATTAAAAAGCTACAAAATGGTGCCACCCACTGGGACACAGCAAATAAAAATGTCCACTACAGTCACCTCAATGTTCATATTCCAAATTAACATAAAACTAACAAGGGTAACAAACAGACTAATGACTGATAAATCAGAAATGTAAAGATCAAGAGTCAATTATAACAAGTTTATTGACATGATTGCTCAACTGCACAGTTTCAATTATTAGAGTAAAGTGACTAAATAAAAAAAAAGTATCACTGGGAATACATGTACAGTATATATAAATTGTACTGAAACAATTCTGACTAACTCAAATTACACTTACATTCAATACAGCTTTAAACTATATTCTAACAATGTGAATTATATTAGTAAGCATGTAATGAAGCTTAAAATATTTGTAAAACTAATTCTACATTAAAAATACCAAGGCAGTTTCACATATAATTTACCAGAGCACCTGCCAACAGACTAGAATGGAACTGTTATAATCATAACCATAAATTTTAAAAGGGTGGACTGGTAAGCCAGTGGAAGGCCTCAGTCAAACAACCAAAAGCTCCAGCAGCAGGTCATCCTATGACTAAGATCCGCTTAAAAAAACACTTGTCCTGTTTTCCGACAAACCTTACTTAACCTAACCTGCCAACAGAGCAATAGTCTGCTTGAACAAATAATCAACATAAATACCTGGCCCAGGCATAGCTCTAAAAAAAATTACTAAATTCCAATTCTTCATAGGAATTTATAGCACAATTTAATGAGAAAAACATCTCCAATCAAAGGATGATTTTTAAACATACTATTGTAGTTAAAATTACTGATACTAAATATGCTGTTGTGTGTGTAAGTTCAGAATCTTCCCATATCCTTCCATATGAAAAATAATATACTGATAATACTTTTATAAAGAATAAATTAAAAAAAAAAAAGCAATCCCTTGTTGCAGCTTTTGTAACAAGTGTAATTAATTGTAAGAGTTTGAAAATATTAAGCTAATGGTAGCAATTATAAAAACTAACGTCCCCAAACTAATTCTATATTACCAACAAAATATGTACTATAACAATATTATTATTATTATAATCAAAAAGAAGCGCTTAGCCACAAGGGCTATACAGCTATCATAACAATAGATAAATCAAATATAACCGGTTTCTGCACACTTTAAGACAACAGACTAGTCTTCAAAAAAATATGAGGCAATGTAAATAATAATTATTATTATTATTATTATAATAAAGTGTCAAAGTGCATGGGGAACATGAGGCAATCAACTTCAATCCACGGAAGGATCAAGAGCCCCTCACCGGCATCAAGGAATCAAGAATGTAATCATTATTAATCATGATGGAGAAAGTAAAGATAGTAATCGAGTGCCCAAGAGATGGCTGAATCAGGGTACCGCAATTTACACTGCTAGACATTTCCTGGGTAACACTGCAATGTTACGTCTACTTCACTTAATCAAATATTTCATTTGGTTATCAGCTCAAAGTATCAATTAATATACCACGTGAGTCAGAGTACAAACTGATGTTTGTACTTTACTTATTAAGACTACAGTGATGACCTGCAGGCGGGGTTTACCAGTGCTAATATAATTATTTTTCACTGAAATGTATTATCATTTTATTATTATAATTATTATCATCATCAATTAGAAGCGCTAAACCCACGAGTCTTGGGGAAAGGAGGGTGATAAAGGTTTGATCCAATAAAGAAGAATGCAGCTTAAATTCCTTACTTGAAGACACGAAAACATTAAAATAATAATATATGAAAAAAGGACTAAGTTTAAAAAGATACAGGGCAACATACTACCTTATAATACCGAATATTTCATTAACTCGTGCAAAATAACACTGAAATATTTACTAGCGTAAATTACCAAATGTTTCAGCAAGTTATACTTAATTAAAGTCCAATGATGACAAACTAACATCCAAGCTTCAATATTTAATCGCAAAAATATAATAATATATATATATATATATATATATATATATATATATATTATATATATACATACATATATATATATATATATATATATATATATATATATATATATATATATATATATATATATATATATATATATATATCGTGCCGAATAGCAGAACTTGCGATCTTGGCTTAAATAGCAACGCTCATCTTGCCATATAGGACAAGTGAAAATTTGTGTATGCAATAATTTCGCCAAAATCATTCTGAACCTAACGAAAAAAAATATATTTTACTGTGTTTGTTTTGTATTAAATTATTGTAAACAAATCTAAAATATATTTAGTTGGGTTAGGTTAAAATAAAGTTGTTCTTGTTATAATAAGGTTAGGTAAGTTTTCTAAGATTCTTTTGGTGCAAAATTAAAATTTTTTACATTAACATTAAGGAAAAAAATATATCTTTAAACGTATAAGAGAAAATTTCAAAAAGGACTTAATTTTAAATGAGTTCTTGCTAATTGACCAGTTTTTACATATTCGGCACGACATTAATATATATATATATATATATATATATATATATTATATATATATATATATATATATATATATATATATATATGTCGTGCCGAATAGGCAGAACTTGCGATCTTGGCTTAAAAAGCAACGCTCATCTTGCCATATAACACAAGCGAAAATTTGTGTATGCAATAATTTCGCCAAAATCATTCTGAACCTTATGAAAAAAATATATTTCAATGTGTTTGTTTAGTATTAAATTATTGTAAACAAATCTAAAATATATTTAGTTGGATTAGGCTAAAATAAATTGTTCTTGCTATAATAAGGTTAAGTAAGTTTTCTAAGATTTTTTTGGAGGAAAATTAAAATTTTTTACATTAACATTAATGAAAACAATATATCTTTAAACGTATAAGAGAAATTTTTAGAAAGAACTTAATTTTAAATGAGTTCTTGCTAATTGACCAGTTTTACATATTCGGCACGACATATATATATATATATATATATATATATATATATATATATATATATATATATATATATATATATAAATATATATATATTATATATATATATATATATATATATACACACACACACACACGTGTGTACGCATATACAACATAAATTCATACTGGTATGTACGTATATACAACATACATACACGTATGTACATACATACAACATATGTATATATATAGTGTCTCAATATGTTATTTTAACATCAAAAACGTATTTTAAATAATGAAAATAAGTCAACACTTCACCGCCCATGTGTCATCATCAGCCTTTCATTACCTATGTAAAACGAACAAAAAATAACTCGCAAAATATCATATAACGTGTCACACGATGTCATACGTAACTGCTATATACCATATAACGTGTCACACGATGTCATACGTAACTGTTATATACCATATAACGTATCATACGTAACTGTTATATGCCATATAACGTGTCATACGATGTCACACGTAACTGTTATATGCCATATAACGTGTCATATGTAACTGTTATATGCCATATAACGTGTCACACGATGTCATACGTAACTGTTATATTCCATAAAGCATGTCACACAATATCATACGTAACTGTTATATACCATATAACGTATCATACGATGTCATACGTAACTGTTATATGCCATATAACGTGTCATACGATGTCACACGTAACTGTTATATGTCATATAACGTGTCATACGATGTCATACGTAACTGTTATATGCCATATAACGTGTCACACGATGTCATACGTAACTGTTATATTCCATAAAGCATGTCACACGATGCCATACGTAACTGTTATATATCATATAACGTGTCACACGATGTCATACGTAACTGTTATATTCCATAAAGCATGTCACACGATGTCATACGTAACTGTTATATACCATATAACGTATTATACGATGTCATACGTAACGGTTATATGCCATATAACGTGTCATACGATGTCATACGTAACTGTTATATTCCATATAACATGACACATTGCATCATACGTAACTGATATACCATATAACGTGACACGCGACGTCATACGCAATTATTATAACATTTGCGTGACCCAAAGAAATTCCCGAAGACGAGAGATGACCACCACCAATAAACCGTCCTCTAATGCGCTAAAGGGAAAAATATGGTATTTGCCTGGATGTGATAATTCTCTGGGGATCATATAAAGAATAGAGCGATTATAATTAAAAGTCACAATAATGAAAACTGCGTCAAATACACTTGCTTCTACAGGAGGTATACTGAAGCTATCATTTAAAGAGGTCAATAACGAAATTATTATTATTAATTAAGAGGGAAGCGCTAAACAAGTAGGATTATACAGCGCCTGTGGGGGGATGTGGAAGGTATTCAGGCTTAATTCAAGGAACTGGAGCATAGATCCAATTCCCTAGATCAAGAGCCCCTCACCAGCATTAAGGAACCTTCCTTGAGGGGAATAACCACAAGAGGAATGACTAATGCAGACTTTTATTTCTCTTTTTTTGGGGGGGAGGGGGCTGTTCTAGATAATTTACACATATGTTACTACGTATGATAACTTGTGTAACTAAATAAGTCACATTTTTTGGTTATCCAAGGTAATTTACACACGTATGATCATTGTACTTATATATAACTGAGTCAAATTACTTATTTACGTGTACCAGTACCTGGAATAAACTTACTACGTCAAATACACACATTTCTACAGGAAAAATACTGAAACAGTCGTCTAAAACAGGTCAATAACTCCCAGAAGAATGATTAATGGAGCCTTTTATTTGTCTTTACATAAGGTATTATTAACCTCCACACAGGCTGGCTCATCACAACTCTCTCCCTACATGATGTAAAATGAACACCTCCCACCCACCGGTGGCCTCCAACAAAGCTAATTAATTTCACCCGCTGGGGGGAAAGGAGGGAGAGAGAGAGAGAGAGAGAGAGAGAAAAAAAAAATGATTTCAGCAGTGCCAATAGTGTGACCATCATTCATAATTTCCCTCGGGCTGAAAATAGTCAATTTGCGGTAGATGTCTATGTGTGTGTGTGTAGCAACCATTCACACACTCTCCTCCCTCACACGCACATGTAGAGGTACACACACACACACACACACTCACGCACAAACTCCATCAAACGCTAAAAAAAAAAAAAAAATAATCGTGGAATTCGAGAAAAAGAGGCATTAAAAATCTGCTCAAGTTGACATTTGTGTGGCTGGTAGTGTGTAACTGTGTGGCACTGAGTGACACACGCTCATGTTATACTCTGTGTGGCGCCTCTGTTGGATAACTTGACCCTTACGATCACGAGTGGATAATAATTTGGTCCTTACGTACGCTCATCTGGGTCGAAAGTCGTGTACGTGGTAATGGCGGAGGATTCTCTGCCCTACCGACACACACCAAGGGCGAACTCCCCGTCCAAAATACTTACATTTTCAACTTCCTGTTGGCGATCACTTGTAACGCCTCGTTCCTTCCTTCCCTGGCAGGTAACGGCGTTGACAACTACGGCGGCAATGTTGAACTATGTGTAAAATCCCCAAATTCAAGGATTAGACGAGAAATAACACTCTACTTTGCGAACAAAGAGGCGAAAATGGCGGCGTCGGTGGTGTGGGCGAGTCCACTCCCTTCAGTGGCGGGGGAGGACTCCATTAAATAATATAATTCCTCGTATACTCGCTAATGACAGCATGCTCTTTTTCTCACAAACTCTCGCCTGAATCATATGAAAACGATGTGGGTAGCAATTACAATACAGATATTCCAGGAGGAGGCATAAAGGCGAAAGTTAGGAGGGTTAGGGGTGCAAGAGTCGGCATCATAGAGAACGAGTTTGGTATGACTGAGAGAAAACGACGGAGGCGAGATCAATGATGACGTATGTCAGAGGGGGCGCAGCCCCCCAAACACACACACACACACACACACACACACACACACACACACACACACACACACACACACACACACACAAACACACACACACACACACGGGACCAGGAGCTATGACACGACCCCTGCACCCACAAACAGGTGAGTACACACAAACAGGACCAATAGCTGTGAATCGACCTCTGCAGCAACACATAAATGTGTGTAGTTCCAGGAGCTGTGACGCTATATCTGCAACCACATATAGGTGAGTATAGTTCCAGGAGCTGTGAATCGACCCCTGCAACAACATATAGGTGAGTACAGTTCCAGGAGCTGTGAATCGACCCCTGTAGCCACATATAAGTGAATACAGACACAAAACAAACATACACACACGCACACAACACATTTAGTTACGATATTTAAACAAGTGGACAAGCAGATAGCAACTACAAGTCAGTGTTACTGACATGCATAATATATAAGGTTATGGAGAAGATTATCAGGAAAAGAACTGTGAGGCACCTAGAAGGAAGTGGGTTCATAAACAATAACCAGCACTGTATTAGAAATGGTAAGTCCTGTCTCACAAATCTACTAGAATTCTATGACAAAGCAACGAAGCTTAGTGAGAGGAAGAGAGGACTACTGGACTCCATAGTTAGTAAGTAGTCTTGGACTGTAAGAAAGTAAGTAGTCTTGGACTGTAAGAAGGCGTTCGATACAGTACTTCACAGTAGACTGGCACAAAAACAAGAAAATCAGACAGGAATAACAGGGAAAGCACTGCAAAGGATCAAGGAATACTTAAGAGGAAGTGCTGGAATGGGCGAGTGTGATAACTAGGATTCCTCAAGGGTCAGTATTAGGACCAATACCATTTTTTTTTGTGTTGTAAACGACACTAAGAAGAAATCGAATCAGAGGCATCCTCGTTTGAAGATGAAATAAAACTAATGAGAATACAAACATGAGCATTCCAGGAAAGGCTACAAATGTATGTGGAGAAACTATAAGATTGGTCTGACAAGTTGCAATCAGAATTTAGATCCATCAAATTTAAGCTATAAAACTAGGGAAAGGACAAAGTCATATGGAAACTGTGGTCTCCCTGAAAGAGAAGGATCTCGGTGTGAGCATAGTTCCGAGCACATCACCGGAGGCACACAAAAACTGAATAACTGCCTCAGCAAATACGAGACTGAAAAATTTAAATGTTGCTTCCAGGAATCTCAATGAAGTTAACGTAGGATTTTTTAAAATTACATAAAACATTTAAGAACAGAAAACAATAGCTAAAACGTTGTTTTATTTGCATATTTCGACGATTCGGGCTTTTTTTTCAAGCATTCACGACACTGTATACTGCTTATGTCAGACCCATCTTGGTCTACACAGGGCTGGGAAAGAAACCATAACTGATAAAACATGTCAAAAAGCTGGAAAAAGTGCAGAGGTTTGCAAAGAGACTAGTCCCAGAGCTGAGGGGCATGAGCTATGATAAGACGCTAAAGAAGCTAAACCTGACAACATTAGGGGACAGCAGATCCAGAGGTGACGTGATTAAAGCGTAAAAAATACTGAGAAGAACTGACAAGGTGGAGAGAGCGAGTGTGTTCGAAAGGAGGGAATCTGGTACATGAATCAGAGTTGGAAGTTAAAAACACAGGTGAGTCACAGGGATATTAAGAAATACTTTTTTAGCCTAAAAGTAGTCAGGAAGTGGAACGACCTAGACAGCAAAGCGGGAGAGGCGGGATCCATACATACTTTTAATAATAGGTATGATAGGATTCGTGCTGTCAGGAGAGAGCGAACCCAGTCGTGGTCAGCAGAAAGGCGAGGCCAGGAGCTGAGACTCAACACCTGCAGCCACAAATAGATGTGTTCGAATAGGTGAGTACACACACACACACACACACACAGGAGAGATAGGGGGGACATGATAACGACATATAAAATACTGAGAGGAATTGACAAGGTGGACAGAGACAGGATATTCCAGAGATGGGACACAGCAACAAGGGGACAGAGTTGGAAGTTGAAGACACAGATGAATCACACTGATGTTAGGAAGTATTTCTTCAGTCACAGAGTAGACAGGAAGTGGAATAGTTTGGGAAGCGATGTAGTCGAGGCAGGATCCATACATAGCTTTAAGCAGAGGTGTGATAAAGCTCACGGTTCAGGGAGAGTGACCCAGTAGCGACCAATGAAGAGACGGGGCCAGGAGCTATGACTCGACCCTTGCAACTACAACTAGGTGAGGTGAGTACACACACACACACACACACACACACACACACACACACACACACACACACACAATACTTATTCCCTTTGATGTCACCTCAATCAAAAGTAATCAAAAACTAATATCACGCTACTCTGAACCCTCCAACAACGACGATAAAAATGTTGCTCTAATCCAGCTTCTGATTGGAAGGACTGACACCATCGTTTGCAAATGAATAATGCAGTATCTAATTAGCCGGTATTAAACAAAATCTTATTTTCAGGTCCCTGTACGTTCACCATGGAATGAGCCTGGGAAGACAGCAAGGTTCCACTGCCACGAGAAGAGTTCCGAAATCGCCAGTAAATGGAGTATATTTTGTTTTGGGAAAAGTGGATCAACATTATGTTTCTGTGAGAGATCTTGCTATCTTCTGGTTGGAAAATTTAGTTGTTGTTTTAATACCTGGTGATGCAAATGGGATTAAGCAATTACTGTTATAAACCAATTATAATAAAAAAAAAAAAATAAACCAATTGTCAACACACACACACACACACACACACACACACACACACACACACACACACACACACACAAATTCCCACTACAGGCAGCACACTCCACCAATATTCAAAACTCTAAACCTACTCACCGTACAAAACATCCATACTTATTACTGCACCTACTACATTTATAGAACACTTAATTCTGATATAAACCCTCCCCTCAAACGTCTCCTTACCAACCTCAACAGAACACACGACCATAACACAAGGCACAGATCACTCTCTGATGTTCCTCGTGTCCATCTCACGCTATGCAAAAACTCAATGCACATAAAAGGCCCTAAAATCTGGAATTCATTACCTGTGAATATAAAAGAAACACTGTCTATTTTTAAATTCAAGACTCTTCTCAAAAACAACTTACTCACCCAAAACTAAATAAATACTGAATAATTGTATCTCATAAATTGTATCTCGTACATGTTTCTCATTATTGTATCTCATAAATGTCTAACCTGTGACCCAATCAGACTTTATTTTTTAATTACATTACCTAACAGAATACTCCATTCTAGTGAATGCTCAGCAACACAGTAAATGACCATATGACCTGTCTTTGTAATGCTCATTTGTGCTAAATTGTTATCTGTTTACAATAATGTTTTTACCATTGAATATATCATTGCTTAGTTAATCTTAAGTTAATTTTAAGCCTGCCCATAATGCTCTGCATACAAGGGCCTTTGACATGTTGCACTGTAATAACTGTATTCCTTTGTACTTCACTGTATCATGTTCAGATTAATAAATAACTAAATAAATAAATAAAATAAATAGGTGGAACACCTAGAAAGGAATGATCTCATCAACAGCAGCCAACATGGTTTCAGGGACGGGAAATCCTGTGTCACAAACATACTGGAGTTCTATTACATGGTGACAGCAGTAAGACAAGAGAGAGAGGGGAATGGGTAGATTGCATTTTCTTGGACTGTAAGAAGGCGTTTGACACAGTTCCACACAAGAGATTAGTGCAAAAACTGGAGGACCAGGCAGGGATAACAGGGAAGGCACTACAATGGATCAGGGAACACTTGTCAGGAAGACAGCAGCGAGTCATGGTACGTGGCGAGGTGTCAGAGTGGGCACCTGTGACCAGCGGGGTCCCACAGGGGTCAGTCCTAGGACCAGTGCTGTTTCTGGTAGTTGTGAACGACATGACGGAAGGAATAGACTCCGAAGTGTCCCTGTTTGCAGACGACATGAAGTTGATGAGAATAATTCATTCGGTCGAAGACCAGGCAGAACTACAAAGGGATCTGGACAGGCTGCAGACCTGGTCCAGCAATTGGTTCCTGGAGTTCGACCCCACCAAGTGCAAAGTCATGAAGATTGGGGAAGGGCAAAGAAGATCGCAGACGGAGTACAGTCTAGGGGGCCAGAGACTACTAACTTCACTCAAGGAAAAAGATCTTGGGGTGAGTATAACACCAGGCACATCTCCTGAGGCACACATCAACCAAATAACTGCTGCAGCATATGGGTGCCTAGCAAACCTCAGAACAGCATTCCGACATTTTAATAAGGAATCGTTCAGGACCCTGTACACTGTGTACGTTAGGCCCATATTGGAGTATGCGGCACCAGTTTGGAACCCACACCTAGCCAAGCACGTAAAGAAACTAGAGAAAGTGCAAAGGTTTGCAACAAGACTAGTCCCAGAGCTAAGAGGTATGTCCTATGAGGAGAGGTTAAGGGAAATCAACCTGACGACACTAGAGGACAGGAGAGATAGGGGGGACATGATAACGACATACAAATACTGAGAGGAATTGACAAGGTGGACAAAGACAGGATGTTCCAGAGATGGGACACAACAACAAGGGGACACAGTTGGAAGCTAAAGACACAGATGAATCACAGGGATGTTAGGAAGCATTTCTTCAGCCACAGAGTAGTCAGGAAGTGGAATAGTTTGGGAAGCGATGTAGTGGAGGCAGGATCCATACATAGCTTTAAGCAGAGGTATGATAAAGCTCACGGTTCAGGGAGAGTGACCTAGTAGCGACCAGTGAAGAGGCGGAGCCAGGAGCTAGGAATCGACCCCTGCAACCTCAACTATGTGAGTACAACTAGATGAGTACACACACGCACACACACACACACACACACACACACGCACACACACACACATATATAAAGTATGTATATATATATATATATATATATATATATATATATTATA